GCGTGCAGTCGTGCGGAAGGGTTACATACTCACACGGAGGCGTAAGGCGCCGCCGTGGTGAGAGACGGTAGGCAAGCCCGCCCGCACGCCTGCATGCGGTACGGTATAAGCAAAATAAAGTAAGGGGTCTGAGGATCACCCTGTATACTAATTCAAATGCATCGAGTATTTATACTTATATCGCGTAATATCGCAATACCGAACGACACGTGTCAAAGGACGATCTCGATATCGTGAGCATATATTGACCCGCTTCGTTTACCAAGATGATAGTACCTTATCGATATCGGCGAGCGTATATCGCACCGTGCGCGGGACCTCAGATGAATTACCCGATTGATTGGCGCGTGGAGTGGACCCCGCCGTGCCCAGGACGAGCCCAGGACGAGCCCAGGACGAACGCAGGACGAGCGCAGGACGAGTGCAGGACGAGCCCAGGACGAGCCCAGGACGAACCCAGGACGAACCCAGGACCAGCCCAGGACGAGCCCAGGACCAGCCTAGGACCAGCCCAGGACCAGCCCAGGACGAGCGCAGGACGAGCGCAGGACGAGCGCAGGACGAGCGCAGGACGAGCGCAGGACGAGCCCAGGGCACCACGCCCCGCCGGGGGACTCGCAATAACTGCGCGAGTGAATAAATCACCGGCGGGAAATAGCCATGAATCACCTTTGCGAATGTTGTGAGGCGCGCGATCGCCGACGACGCGAACCTCATCGACACGTGGGGCGACCCGCGCGCGTCGTCGTCGTCGCCCGGGTTTGGGCCAGGAGGACAGCGCGGGGACGGAGTGACCCTTTCCTCGCACCCCTCTCATTTCGCCGGTAACCAGACACGCGCTCAAATCCTCGTGGAAACGACTCGTTGCAGATTCGAATCCGGCTCGGGTCCAGGCCTCGGACCGGGGAGAGGAGCGGCGGAGCAGGGGCGCGGCCGACGGTCGTGAAACAAGAATAAGATGCATCACTTTTATTGGCCGTCACACGTCAGTCGATCATGATCAGAGGACATACGTGAGCGGGGTGTCCGAGTGGCGACCACGGCACGGCCGCAACATGTGCCGGGGCGTCACAGTGTCACACTCCGTCACTCGACGACGGCGTCGGCGGTGGCGGAGGCGGGCGGGGGGTCCGCGGGTGCAGCGGGGAACGCGTTATCTTGCAGAGGGGAGGGGGTGGAGGGGGAGGTGAAAGAATGCAGTAAACGCTGTTGTACGCGCTTTGCCGTGCACGCGGCGCGCGTTGCCTGTTGCCTCGCTTTGGCGACATGTGGTATTCAGCCGGCACGTAGTTCGTAGTACATAGGCGCGCGCGTATCAAGGGCGAGGCGAGGCTCTCGACGCAGCGGCGGCGGCGGCCACAGCCGCGCGCCCGCCCGACAAGTTCGACCGACATTTCGTCTTCCTCGTCGTTGGCGTCCGCGTCCACGCGGCGACGACTCCTACGCAATAAGCAATGGCGCAAGTGAAGCGAGTCGTATGCCACTACCCTCCCCCCGAAGTGCGCCGCAGCATCCATGATACGATACGCCCCTAGCCCAAAGAGGTTGTATAGCTCTTCGCCTTAGCCGCGGAGCAGGCGCGCCGGAGGGAAGGGGTGGCGGCGGGTGGAGGGGAAGAGGGGTGGGGAGGCATTGCCTGGCATTGCCGGGGCAGCAGTGGGCAGCAGCAGTGGCGTTGGCGCGCCGACGAAAAGTAACAGGAACCTTTGAGGAAGGCACGGCCAAGGCAGCGGCGGCGGCGGCTTCGATGAGTTCCGAGAACACCCCTCCAAGCAGTTTATACTAAAAACGTGCGTGTTACCGCTCACATGATTTCTCTGTGGGGCTGAAACGGAAAGAGATTGGACACAACAACAACAACAAAACAATGAGGGGGCACACTTACATCACACACACACACACACACCACTTTGATTCCGATTTGCGCCCGTCTCGCCCGCCTCAAGAGGCCACGGGTAAACCAAGTCAACACGCGCCGAGGTCTGTTTGATTAAGTGCATTCCTCGCATTCACGTTATTCGGGAGATAACGGCCGACTGATACCGCGCTAAGGGCCGTCTCTCATGACCGC